TTGTCCCTGGTTACAGTACTATCCCATAGCTGTAATACAGATGCATATTTTTCTAGAGTGATGTACACTTTGAGAACTTAATCTGCTCAAACACCATTTCTGATTTGTTCATAGGGACAATAAGTCTGTACAAGCTTTTGTCTGTACTAAGCCCTGAAAGCAATTTATTAATTTATTTATTGCAGCTTTTACTGAAGTAGAATCTCTAAGCCCTTCTAAAGGTGGTGATCTTTCAAAAGAAGAACTGATCCACTTCAGCCAGCTCAGTGGTAAGCTCCAGAATATTTGATTTTGTACACATCAGAAGGTTTCTCTTAATTATTGTGTGCTGAAAGATGGGGAACTCTTCTGAAAGCCTTCAAAAACTGTTTCAAAATCAGCTCTTCCAGCAAATCGTGTCACTGTTGACATGAATGCTATGTGAAGATCTTCTCTAGATAGGTATATTTTCAAACACCGTAGCGCAGAATTTCTTTGTGGATAGGCATTCTTTTTTAAAGCATTTCTTCTTTAGCAATATGTGGTTTAATTGTTATTTATAAGCATATAAACTGTATATGGTAGCAAGCCTCAATAGCAGGTCATTTCAATACCACGGTACAAAGAACAACAGTCCTTGCCCTGAATTGCTCATGTCTGGTGATAGAATTCAAAAGCCACAAGCATTTATGAGGAAATAGGGTGGTATATTTGGCCAGTATTTTTCATCATAGCTGACAACTATTCTGTTGCCATGCTTTCTTTGTTGAAGTGCTGGCTATTTTCTTTTTGCATTCAAGGCAAATTCAAGACATATTTCCTCCTTTAAGGATTTTGATACCCTGGTTCATAATTATATTTATGGAGTTGGTCAAGTATTCTTTTTGGAAAGCTGTGCCTTTTTACTTGCTTGGTGGGCAAATCCTTTTAATTTTTTTTTTATAAATTATATAACATACTCATGTAATATGGGTATGTTCTCACTTACAATTCAACATACAGCCACGAGCGTTATCAGGATCATCTGCTTGATGATTTATGTGGTTTCAGTGTCTTTTGAGATCTCCAGCCTCACTGTGGCTCATGGTGTTCATTGCTGTTGTTGTACAATTGTACAATTTGAAGTGTACAGATCCGACCATGCAGTTTATTCTTGGCCTGATCTGTGTTGAGTACAGGGATCCAGGAGGGTCCTGCTTCTTAATCAAGGAATTTCTGATAGAAATAAGTGACCCTGCGTCTGCAGGGGGGTTGGGTTAAATGATCTCTAGAAGTCCCTTCCAACCTTTATGATTCTATGATTTGCTCTTCCTTTCGCAAATAACACATTATTTTTCTCCTCCTAAACTGCAGTTTCATCTACTGTGGATAATCTTGAAAGTGATGCTCTGAAGAGCAGCCCAGAAAAAGGTAAAGAATCCTGGAGACAGTTGGTAACCATGTGTTTTGAGGGGGAGAGGAGCTGAGAGAGTGTATGTTGAGAAAGTATAATAATTAATATCTTGCTGTCTTGTGAGATCTTAAGCATAATGCTAATGTAATACCCACTTCTTTAACTGTATTTTTGAATGGCCCTGAGGGCACCGCTTCTTTTGCTTATTTGCTCGTCATCCCTCAGGGGGAGGTCTTAGCTCATGTTTGCTCTTTTTTGCATTTTTGGTCAAGTAGGGAAGGGGAAGGTTGATATTCAGGCATATCTGAAGCAGTGGCAAGATGAACTTCTTAAAAAGGAAGAAAATATTAAGGATCTGCCAAGGATGAATCAGGTAAAACTGCCTATGTCTTAATCTTTCACAAGTCAGTTTTTGTTTGCTGTTTGTTTTTTAAGTTTTGTTAGTAGTTTTCCAAAAGACTCTTGGTATCCCTTAAATTTCAGACCTTCAAATTAACCATTAGATTGTATTTTTTAAACTAGTGCAAGTTCAAATAGAAAGGAACTTTCAGACGTACCTCAGTTTATCAAGGCTAGTCCAGGTCTCTGTCATCATCAGAGCTGTTGTTATACTAGACACCTAGGGGCAGCATTCTGGGGTTGAAAGCAGTGAAGCAGGAGAGTTGGGTTGCTGATTTCCGAATAGTTTCCTCTCTCTCTCTCTCTCTGCAGTCGCAGTTCATCCAGTTCTCAAAAACCCTGTACAATCTATTCCACGGGGACCCCGAGGAGGAGCTGCTCTATAGGGCTATAGCAGTGGTGACCAGCCTCTTACTGAAAATGGAGGAAGTTGGCAGAAGACTGCAGAGCCCAGCATCGCCACTCAAAAGTCCAGGTGCTGTTACAGAGGTGCCCAATGAAGCCCCAAGCAAAGGGGAGGAGGAAAGCAGCTCTGGGCAGGCTGAAGGCAGCAGAGCTCAGAGTTCAAGAGGAGACCATGAGTGGTCTTTTGCCTTTGAACAGATTTTGGCATCCTTATTAAATGAGCCAGCCTTCGTGAGATTTTTTGAGAAACCGCATGAGATAAAAGCTAAAATAGAGAGTGCTAGAATGTTACAACTAAAAGCAAGAACCAGAGTATAGTTTTCTTCACCTTTGCACTCTGCATTAACAACATAAAGCACTTAGAAATGAAGGTTTCTACTATATCAATTGAGTGTGGAGTTTACATAGGAAATGGGATTTGAAGAGTTAGCTTTAAATATCACATACCAGTACGCTTTTGTGTAAATAAAGATAGTTTCAAGCACAATCACTTTCTTGCATTGTTCATACGTTTCAGGCCAAAAAGGACTGAAGAATAAACTATTTTTACCATGTTATTAAAATATGCAACATTGCTAGGAAATAATAGGTGTTATCTGTGAGTGGCACTAGGACAAACCTTTCTGAATGACAGCTCTTACGCTGTATGCTCTCCAGGTTCATTTCTATTATTGCAATGAATGTAATAACTACCACCCATTTTCACTCGAAATGGATAATGACAGCTAAGATACTGATTTTCAGGTTAGTTTAAATAGTTGTTTCTAAACCTATGTGTGGACTGGAATCAAAGCAGGGTGACGACTGAAAATAAAGGCCTTCAAATGGTAGCTGTGTTGGCTACAAGAACATCTGGTTAGAAAAGAAAGTTGATGGACACTTGATTCCCTTGCTCCGGTGTTACAGAAGCCTGGGCTGCTGCAGATTCCAACAGTTGTTACTTACCAGCAGTTTGTGGACTGCATTCTCCCAGCTCACATATTTTTTTTTTTTTTGCAATGTGGCCCTTAGCTAACACCCTTACATCTAGTTTCCTACTTTTCTAGCTAGATGTGAGTTACTATATCCCATTTATATACCTGTCCTCTTTTTCATCTCACTGCACAGTCATTATTGTACATCTTGCAAGAGGGGACATTGTTGACTCCTCAGGAACATGTCGATAAAATGTATGGTTTTGCTGTGTGTTTTTTCTAGTGTTTGCATAGGAGAACAACAGAATCATTTTTTGCTGTTTCCTGTTCAGCTGAACACTTTGTAGCTGCTATGGACAAATTGCAGTTGCTGCTTTGTCTATTCCTGATCTGCCCCTCAGTCTTGTAATTCTTCTGTCTTCTGTAGCTCTCTGGATCATTGCTGAGGTTATATTTCATATGTGCCAGGTTTAATGGCTGCAACAAAATTCGGAATCTGAATTGGGATTTTTAATATATATAAAATGATATAGTAAACAACCTATGAAGGCAAGCTCAAGTACTGTTTATGCAGTTAAATGCTGTTAATGCTCAAGCTACCTTGAGCCTTAGGTATCTTGTGCTGGAGTGGGGGTTTTAAAGTACTGTATTTTTATTTAAAAAAAAGTAAACTGGACATCTCTGTGCTGACCTTAAAATGGGTTAAAAATTGCTATTTCTAAAGGCTGTACAACAATTTTTCTGTGCAGAACAGCATTATTTTTATAAGTTTTTTTTTTTTACAGAAATGGAATGGGGATGGGAACACTGAATGTTGGATGTCTGTTTTGCAATACTAAAATGAATGAGGAATATAATTAAAATCCCACTTATGTTACAAGCAGTTGTTGAAATGCCATCATTGCAATGGGTATTAAAGTTCCAGTGCTGCTTCTAAAGAAGAGTTTTGATTAACAGCAGTGAATGTATGAATTATTTTCCATACTCCTGCACTATGCTTTCAGGAATTAATGTAAGACAAGTTTTACTGAACAAAGAGCAATTTCAAATAATGTATCATATATTTGAGAAATGAGGCAGCTTTCTTCAGAAGCCTTCATAAATAGTCATGCTTGGCGCAACACGTCTGCTTTGTCTATTTATGCATAAAATATACAAAATTATCTATTCATATGCATTTTTCTAAGGCAAAGTAGGACACTGCTGTGATAGATTATGAAAACAGTGAGTACATAGAGTTACAAATGTTGTTTTAAAATACAAAGCAGATAATACTGATGTTCTAGTCCAGGACTCAATCAGATAAGGTTTGCTCAGTGAGTAATTCTTAGGCAAAGCAATCATGCTGCAACCAGTGTCATTCCTTGAAAACAGATGCAGCCACTCATACAAAAAGCCTTTGTAGAATCACTGTGGATATCGTTAATTATAAGATGTACTCAAAGATATGTAGTATTTGCCAAGCAATGCATCACAGAGACCTGAAATTCATAGAACTCGGTGACATTTTTTGTGGAGAATGAAGATGCTTGGAAAACATAGTTATATGCAGGTTAAAACAAAAATACAAAAGCTATGCTCGTGGAACCTGCAAAATATGATAGGCTGTGATACTACTCAGTTTAGTTAGGTAAAACTGAGTACCTTTTTAAAACATCAGTTTTTATCAATATCAACCTAAGAGATGGTAGAGCCTTTACCAATTTTATAGTTTTTGTCCATAATAGTTATATCTATTTATAAACAGAAAATTACCAGCATAAATGTATTTTTAAAAAGTATATATAAGGTGAAAAGCTTGGATGTTTAGAGGTACACTAAAATTTATTAGCTGCATGGATTTTTCTATTAAACTTCTTTATATATTTTGCCCCCCCTCAAATGTAATATCTATTTAAATCCTTCCTATAATATAACTGCAGGTTGATGCACCAAAATTAGTGTCCAGCCTAGCAGGGCAGAGGTTGGAGGAAACTTGCTTGGGTGATTGCTTATATGGCAAGTTGTTGTGTCCTTGTGCCCATGGATCACGTTCTTGATGCAGGAAATCCTGGCCGGAGCCAAGGACTGTGACACGCAGGTGTTTGCTGGGCTGACACCCTGGTTTGTCACAATGTGCTGAAGTTGAGGAACACTCTTGTTTTGGAGAATAACTTCAAAACTAGCGTGCAGCTAACTTTTCTACTCTTCCTATGGTGCAGATAGCCTCGCCAACAGGTAAGTGTAGGCACAGTTGGGAAGGAGAAGGCTATAGCAATAGAAGGTCTTTCCCAGTCTTCAGTCCCAAAGGAGGATACTTTGATTTTATGACTCTTTTTTCAAGTCCTGCAGGGTCAGGACAGGGAGCTCTGTGCCTTATGGCTCTCTGAAGTTCTCAGTGATGCAAAGATGAACCCAGAATCACATCCTATTGCATGAGGGCATGGGGTGAGCACACATCTGTTGCAAGAGGTCAGCTCTCCATCTAGCTTGGAATTAAACAGAAGTGCCAGCGAGGGCTTTGGGCAGCTGCAGGATGTCTGAACTAGGCTTACTCAGCCCCTTCCTATGGAGGGACTTTCCGATGAAATTGCAACGTGGAGATTTTAGAAGTGTTTTTGGTATTTGGGAGGACTCATTCTCTAATAGGAAGTGTGGTTAGATGAGTAGTAATGTGTCATTCCACTTTTCTATCTGCATTACTTCTTTCTGTAACAAGAAAACATGTTGGCCTGAAGTGCAGGAGGGCATGGTGGATGGAATGAGGAAGTCAGGAGGAATCTGTTGATGACAAGGATTTTCTCTGCAAACCAAGAACTAGGGGACAACATCTTCATAAAGTTATCCTTTTTGCGGGGGGAGAGGGTCCAGTAGTAGGAAATAAATGTCTATCATGAGTACAAAACTAACTAGGATGTAGGTTGCTGACACTAGTGATGCTGTTTTTACAGGATTTAAATTGAATTGCCTGCTGTAGTGGTGCCCAGTGTGAGTGGGCAGCTATGTTGTGGCTCTTTTATCTGCAAACAGTAGCTCTTGGTGCAAACTACACAGTCCCTTCTTGTGGCTGGGCCATTATTATTGTTGCTATGCACATAAATTGCATTTTTTCAACCCAAATCTTAGCCCAAGGGAATGGCAGCAGAGCCAGGGTGGTGTTTCCTCTTGCTGGCAAACTAGAAAGTGCTGCTGAAAGGGACTGTCACTGTCCCCAGGCCCTGGCCACCATCAGGAGCCGTCTGCTGACTCCCTTGGTCCGGAACATCCCGGTCAGAGGTGTCTCTTTGGGGTCAGGCCACAGGATTTGAATCCTAATGTGCAGGAACAGCTCAGCTGGTAATCATGAAAACAGAAGTCTCTTCCCCCATGGAGAGAGCGCTGCTCGTGTTCAGTCCTAAGCATTTCCCGGGCCTTGGCAGTGATCTTGGCTGCTTCAATCCGTTCCTAAGAGAAGCCACCCGCTCATCACTCTGATGGCTGTGTAAGAACATACAGGTGTTTTTAGAGGAGTTTACTGTGCATTGATTCAATTAAAAGTTTCTCTTCCAGTTGTACTGTACAAAATTCTTGTATATGATTGCCAATGTTGGAGTATTCGAAAGCATTGGTCATGTTAAGGCCAATTTTAGTCAGTCCTTTCCAAAGCAACGCCCAAGCCATTTAAAAGCATTCAGGGACTCCAATCCTGCCCAAAGTGGAGGGGAAATCAAAATAAAAGAGGAGACCCAATTTTGATGGCTGGGATTAACTTAGCCTTGCACACAACTTGACTCAGGGGCTGAGATGGCTGGTAGCCCAGGAAAAATAGCCTAAGTTATGCTGATTTTTGTAATCAAGTTCTGTAGTGTGCAAACTTGTCTACACTACCTCTGTGCTCTTCGTAATTTGTGAGTTCCCCTGTTGTTTGTGGTGCTGGGTGTGGAAATCCCAGTCTCAATCTTGAGCCCTCCTGGGGTGCACATTTCTTATTTCTTCCTGCACATTTATATGAGCTGCCTGCTTTTTTTGTTCCTCCTAGAGAAGCAGGAGCAGGTTCTGATCCCCAGACTGCCTCACACAGCCTAGTGAAAAATAAAAATTGCAGAGCCGGTTAGAGGTCTTATATATATGCTTTTATTTTTATTTATTTTATTTTATTTTATTGGAAAATACTATGTACAATCTGTTTAAAGCTTGTCAAAATGCATGAGCTCCCATCCAATGGAGCTGTGCAGGAACATAGATTCAAGACAATAAAATCTTAGCTGTTCATCTTCATAAGACACTTCCTTTTTTCCCATTACAAAATAACTTTTAAGAATAGTAACATTTATAAACGTATCTATATTTGACTTCATATAAAATAAACCAAGATTCATAGACAATTCTAAAGTATTTGTTTTGTTTTCTTCTTTTCACGTGGATTATGTTACAATATATACAGTAAATTTTCACTGTGTTTGTCAAACCAGCCTGATTATATCCACCAGGCTTTAGCTTATATGTACAAATATGCTAAAAGTGCAAGACTTTATTAAAGCTGCCTGTGTTTTCAGAGGTCTGGAATTGTGTGGCCTGTATATATGTGTGGTTATACACACATATCTATATTAAAAACACACTTAGATGTATGTATACAGGTGTTTGTGTGCTAGAATATTAACGACTAAGAGGTCTACACTGACGCTGGAGCCAAATCCCTGACGTGGGAGGCATCTGCCACGTTCCTCCCATCTGCTTGTGACCAAGGGGCCAAACTTGTGTTCTCTTGAAAGCACCTGGTCCACCCAGGGTGAACCAAACCCACCAGCACCCCCAATTCCAAAGGGGTCCCAAAAACACAGGTCAGAGCTAACACCGAGGTAAACAAATACAAATCAACCTGAATAAAGAGCTTGCTTGAGCTGGGGGAGAGGTGAGAGAGGGAGCTTAAGGCAAAAATCCCATGGCCCTGATTCAGTCTCCCCACAGCCTGCAGACAGACTGAGCAGGCCCCTGAAAAAGAGTTGCAGGATTTTTCCCTCCAGCGCGAGTCTGAGCCACGCGGCTGCTGGCGGGGGGCGTCGGGGCCGAGACACGGGGAATACAGTGGGAGGAAGGGGCACGTGATAAAGTGCATGGGAAATAGTCCCTCGTTTTTAGCAAGGCCAACCTAAAATGTAAACATCCTTACAGACATCCCTACAAATCTGCTGGGCAGATTTCCTACAAGGCCGCCAGCAGTGGCCAAGGCTGAGCAGCCCCATGTGCCACCAGAGCGGCTGTGCGCAGGGCACTGCCACATCAGTGCACTTGCCCCTGCCAAAGAAAACCCCAAAACCCCAAACCCAGCCAGGCTGCCCTGCCTTGACTGCCTCCCTGCCTGGCCCCATTTGAAAACCAGCCCTGACCTCCCCAAAGCAGCCCCTTCCCCACCCTGAAATGCATCTGCTTGACACGTCATGAGCTGGGCTCATTTACAACAAAAACTGGGATGCAAAAGGGCCACCCTGCTGCGCTGGCATCATGCAGCCCAGGCAAGCAAGAGCCGTGCAAATAGATGTGCCCTCGCCCTGGACCCCAGCCCACAGCACAGGGCTGGGGGCAGACAGACCTGGAGCACACGGATTTGCTGTCTTTGGGAGCGCGTGCATGTCTGTGTTTCTTCTCCTGCCCATTAACATTATGTGCCAAGTTGAGAAAAAAACAAATATAACAATTCCCCCCCACCCCTCCTCAGCCAGAACTACCTTAGTGTCTTGGGAGTGAAGACCCTAAAGGTAACAAACCACAATGAATATATATATGTGTATGTGTATATATGCATACATATATGTGTGTGTATGTATATATACACACACATATACATGTGTGAGAATACATATAGATTATATATCATATATATTATAATAATATATACACACACACTATATATATCTTTAAATATGAACTCTATATAAACATCATAAATAAATATATATATAAATATATATAAAATACATATACATATGTATATATATATATATAAAAAAATCTACATATATATTTATATACATATTTGTTTCCACAAAGGCTGAGGCAATGCTGCTGGTTGCAGGAGGTGCAGGCACAGGGCCCCCAGCCCACGCCACACTCCCGAGCACCAGCCCCAGGCACTGCCCAACTGCAGCTCCCTGCTCCCATCACGGTGCCCTGGGGCTGTCACATCCCCTCAGCCCGCTCTGAAAGCAGAGGTGTCACCACGGGCATCACCAGGAGGGTCGGCTCCCTTCCCCACTGCCCCTTCACTGCGAGGCCAGGCCAAGGGCTGCTCGGGCAGCGAGTGCCGCTGCAGCCGAAGAAAGGAGTTTGTGCGGGGCCAAAAGCAAAGAGAAAGAAAGAAAGAGGGGGGGAAAAAGTCCAAAGCATTGCTTAGGCTAGACAGAGGTTAAGAACTAACCTGTCACTAAACTTTGCTCTGACCGCCAGCTCCAACATTTCTTCCAGATGAATTTGTTCCTACCTAACCACTCACAGTAATGGCAGAAAAGAGCTCCTACTTTTGGGCTCTAATAGTGTCCTCTGTTAGGACTCAGTTACCAAGCCCACCTCTGAAATGTACCTTTTCATTTTTCCTTTGGAAAGACAAAAAACAGTAGGGACACTTTACTATATACCCACTGAGGAATAAACCTTTTTTATCTCTCTTTTTTTTTTTTTTCAATCCATAAATATAAACATATATAGTTTAAAAAGTGACAATTTACAAAAATACAATTTATTGCTGACCCTATGGGCACAGAACATCGCTTGCATCATTGCGAGTATAAGTTATAGGTGTCAAATTGAGACATGACCAAGCAAAACCACAAAGTTTGCTGGCATATGGTATTTTTTTTGTTGCTGTTGATGTTGTTTGCTTGTTTTTGTATGTAAGGAACCGTGTACAACAACAGCCATTTGAAACAAAACAAGAACAGAGTAAGAGCAAGGAATCTTTGTGTAACCTGAAAAACGCCATTTGAAACAAAACAAGAACAGAGTTCTTTTTGTGTAACCTGAAAAAAAAAAAATCAAAAACTTGGCTACAGGGAGTAAAAAAAAAATGTATAAATGCATCTGCACTTGTTAACCCAAATGAAACGTGACAAATGTGTTGCTAGTTGTGACATAAGCTGGTATAACGAGAGTAAGAAATTCAGGCAAAAGTGGTGTTATGTGAGTTAGCAGCATCATCCAATCCTCTGGAAAACAAAACCTGTGGGCTTGAGGTATAGAAAAAAGGAAATAAAAATAAAATAAATCCGCGCTGGCACTACCATGCGGACATGAGCTATGTACATGGTAATGGAGGCGTCTCGCCGCCACCGCTGCCTCCCCCACCCCAGCGCTGCCAAGGGGCCACTGCGACTCTCGCACTGAGGGCATCAGTGAACAGTGGTGCCTGGCAAGCCCTGTCCTGCAGCTTAACATGGGCCCCGTTGGCCACCCCGCTGCCAGCAGGGCCCCAGGCACCACAGGCGCTTTGGGGTGGCAGCCCCTGCTCATGCGGATGGAGCTGAGGCGGCTCTGTTGGGCCATGGTTGAGACAGCTCCGTCGGGCCACCGCCTGCCCGTTGACTTGGAGTACTTCAAACACCACTGCCCTCCCTCCAGGCCCCACATGGGCAGAGCTGGAGCTACTCCTGGCCGGAGCCACCCACGTGCCGCAGTCCTGCGAGGGGAACCTCGGCTCAGCCGCCGCTGCAGTGCCAAGGGCTGGCTGTGTGGAAACACTGTTAGAGACAGCCCTCCCAAACCTTCCTGTGGGACTGTCCCTCTGGCCACCTTTCCCGGCAGGTCCTCTCCTCTTCAAGTCACCATCCCTGGCCTGGTCTGCGCCTGGCTGCTGTGGCCAAGGTCCTGCTGCTGTCACGTCCTGTCCCATCATGGCGCTCACGGTAGCTGCATCTCCGGCAGGTCGGGCAGGCTGCAGGGCTGGCCCTGTGCATGGCGGCTTGGCTGCTGCGGGTGCACGAAGTAGCCCATGGGGCTCTGCTGCGACGCATGAGGCGCCTGGAAAACACGCTGGTTCGGCCCCCCTGGCACCGACTCGGGACCTTGCATCTGCAGTGGGGACGGGAGACACGTCAGACCATCCATTCTGGCTGCGGGGCCCATGATGAGGAGCTCATCTCCAAGGATGAGGTCCCCATGGTTTCAGCTGCCCATCAAAGCTACAGGCTGCAGACATGCAGCCAGGGACACTGGTGTTACCAGCAGGACAAATGCTGCCCGGAGAGCCCAAAGGTGAAGCGAGATCTACCCATGCCGACAGACCTCTGTGGAGTTCAGCAAAAAACACCAGGGAGAGCTATAAGCACTACCTGGAAGTGCCATGCAGTGGGCATTTCTGTCAGACACTCAGTTGTAACTGAATTCTTTGGAAAAAATATGGCCTTGGATACTGAGCAAACGTGAAGAATGATGAGGATTTGGGTATGTTTAGATATAATGGGAACAGTAGGTGTATGAGAGTTGGCTAGGGCCAGGTAAGACTTTGTCAGATTTTGTCAGGTAAGATGGGTCAGATTTGGTCAGGGTCTAGGAAGTTCTCAAAAACCCAGTCTTGTGCATAATTATAAACCTGCTTCAAGTCCGATGGGGAAGCATAAAATGGGGCTGAGTGTTTTGCTCCTTGTGGTGTGATAAACTGGGGTGCTCGTCTGGTGGGAAGTGAAGGCGGTGTGTGGGATCATCAGCGACGGGGAGAAGATGGGTGACGGGACTGGAGGTCGGACTGTGCTACTGGTAATCGGCTGCATCTGTATCGCGGTAGGCAAGATTTGCTGCTCTGGGACGAATCTGCCAAGAGAAGGGAAAGAATGGGAACAAAAACTCCAAGCCACTCATGAATAGAAATGGCAAACACCCTGGTGTGAACAGAGTGATCCAACAACCTTCTGCAGTGCAATAAAAGCAGAGGTCGACAGGGAAGGCAGATGTTCAAACTCCTGATAGACAAGTCCAAGAAACAAATCCATGAACAAACTCCACCCGGTGGCCCCTCGGGTCACCTGCCCCCTGGCAGCCCCACTGCTGCCTGGGAAAGGCCCGGCCCGGCTGGGTGCCTACCTCAGGCTCCTGTCCTGGCTGTACTCAGCCTGCTGCTGCCGGTCACTGGCTTCAGCCGGCACCACCGGGTTGTTGTAGAGGGACATTGAAATGCTCGTCTGTCCTGGCAGACCCGTCGTTTGCTGCGCTTGGCTTCCTCTTACTAGGTGCTGCTGCTGCACCTGGATGCACATACAGACACGGGTTTCTTTAAAGCTCCCTATTACGGCTCCTGCAACTACAGCTCCTTTAAAAATGCAGTTGTTGGTGAAAGGACAATTAACAGTAGAAAGTGCTCCCTGAACAGAGCGATAACACCGGTGCAGCTAGGGAAGCCAAACAAGCTGTCTGCCCTCTCGCCCACGCACAGCAGACCATGGGAATCCCAGCTGGGAAGGAGATGGTCTCTTGCTCAATCAGAGCAGAAGGGCTAGGGCATCTGAGGCATGAGGGAAAAGGGAGAAGCTCAAAGGCTGCAAATCCAAAGCCCCAAGCAAAACTTCTAATGCTTCCTCACAAGAAGCAGTTTACAGTCTTGCTCAATTTTTGACATCTCATTTTTTTTTTTCCCAAGGACATGTGGCCATCTATGTACTGGACTTGGGTCTAGAGATGATAAACTTGTTTTTCAAAACTAACTTAGAGCCATAACCAGACAAAAGAAGAACTCCTTTAAAATTATGTAAAGATATAACTCTCACTGGTTATAAAAGATGCATTCTGGCATAACTGAAAAGGAAAATGAATCCGAAGACAAAACCATTCTCCTACACAATTCTACTGAAGTTAGGGGAAATGCATCCCAGTGGTCTGCTGTGATTTAATGGTTCTACGCTGCGAAGCGTTAATTTTTTTTTACAATGGAACAACATCACTTGTTCAAGTTCCACTTGAAGCACATTTCTTAATCCCCTAAGAGACTAAAACATATGCACATGGGAGAAAAGAGGGACCACAGAGGGAGGTGCAGGTACAAAGTGCTACCTTTACACTAGGTGTACCACCAAATGAACAAGGTGGCCGTGTCCTACACTTAGCCTCAAGTGCCAACAACTATTCAAAAAGTCAGGAAACAAGCATGAAGATGAAGTGGTAGGTAGCAACCTGGGAGGAAGGGCCACCAGGTTCCCTGAGGAATTGGCGTGGGGACGGTAAGTGAGGGCCACAGTAGTGTTTGGTCCCAGTAAGGCCGTGCTGCTGCAACTTCTTGGCTGTGCTTTGCCTGGTTGCCCCAGGCTGCTGCTGCTGTGACGGCCTTCTTGGACTCTGGTGTGGCACGTTGTTAAAGACTAAGGGTATCGGTTGCTGCATCAACATCTTTAAGAAAAAAGAGACAGAGGAGTTAGTTTGCAACTATTTGCTCAACTGAGGAATGGCAAGCTCTGCTCAACGAGTAATGCTGCTAGCACGAAATGGAGTGTCGCAGTAAAGTGAACCACAAATAACAGGGAATTTTGTGAGCGCAAATACTTATGCAGAGCCACTAGCGCTCCAGCCCCATTTTGCCTGTCACGTTTATAGGAGTGGTGTGAAGGATCTGAGAATGCTACTATGGATCTGGGAATGGCACTAGGGATGCAGCAGGATTATTGAGCCATTAAACCTTGGAGCAGTTCCTGCAGAAGGGGCTTTTCATTAGTTTAGTCACTTCTTTAGGATTTTTTATTTTCCAAATCAGGAAAACTTCAATACTTGAACAGATCCTGATGCCTCCTCTCAAGAGGTACCTTTCCAGCTGCTTACACATCTGGAACTGTACTACCAACCTAGCTCATTTCTAAATGCTTTTGTTGCAGACAATTTGGTTACTGATCCAAGTGCTTGGAGGCAAAGCAAAGGGTCTGCGGGTACCCGGAGAGCACAGAGCGGACCCGCAGTGGCTGCGCACCTGCAGGTTGGAGTCCTGCACTAGCTGGAGTTGCTCCTTGATGACGTGCAGCTCCTCTTGCTGCGTCTTGATGTCAGCTTGCAGTATGCGAGTCCTCTCTTCCAGCTGCTCTTTCAGCTGGTGCATCATCCCCAGCTGTGCAGGGAAGTGGTACACTGGCTGCAGAGAAGACAGAAAGGTCACCAGTGGGACCAGCGCTGCTGCTCATAGTCATCACGGTGCTGGCTTCAGAAAAATGACAGTGCCTGAGCTGGGCAAGTGACTTTCTGAAACATTGTTATCCAAGAAAAAAAAAAAAAAAAAACGTGTATTGCTCATTTAACCCAAAGTGCCTCCATATTACCAGAAGAGCAGCACAACAGTGGCTCACACAGTGTGGTTTGCTCCTGATGTCCTTCTGCTGCACTGCTGCTTAGATGTTTTTCTCAGTTGTTCCTGGGAGTCACCTTGTCCTCATGCAATGAATTTGTTGGCAAGGGCAGCCACAGAATATTGCTCCCTCGCTGGCACGTGGAGAGGTACGAAGGATGGAGAGAGCATTCTCCCCAAGAGAATGGTGCTGGCTGGTGCACCAAGAGGCACCAAGAGGACAAAATTATCAGCATACGTGTAAGCTGCTCTTCCCGGGAGCTCTCATGGGAGCTTTCTAGAGACAAGCTTCTCACCTGAATTTTTGCTAACTTGTGGGACTAAAGGGACACCCAAGTGACCCGTTCCAATGGGTGTGCTGCACTACTTGCATGGCCAGAATAGCCATGCACAACCAGCACAAGCCTCTCCAACCCCCATCTAGCAATGAGATGAAGTGCAGCCCACTGGAGCCACTAAGTCTGCCAGCAGACTGGCTGCACGAGTGCATTTAACACAAATAAAACACGTACCATCACAGCTTGCTGAGAGGGAACTGCCAACTGAGCCACAGGATGCTGACTGAGGTGGTCAACAGCGGCTTGAGGAGTTGCTATGGCCTAGAAATGAAAACTTGCCTTATTTTAGGTCCACAGCATCTTTATGGTACAGTGCTGGAAGACCTGCTCACTGGTGTTCTATTGACTCATATTACTCATGCAAACTTCCCTGAAGAACTAGTGCAATTAGAAAGCACATGGAGGTTTGAGGATGCGTCTAAAGGGAGAATTTAACTTTCAGCATGCCTGCCTCTAATTCAAGCCTGAATGTCATTTGAATGTCTTTTTGCTGAGATTCTTTTCACATGTGCAAACCTGAGAAAACTGGGCTTGTGGCATGAGAAAGGCCGTGGCCTGGAGGAGTTACTGACTCCGGGAGGACACAGTGCAGCCATGCAACCTCTGTCCGAGCCCTCCACCAGCGTCAAGAGCAGGCAGTTCCTTCACAGCCCTGGGAAACACCAGTGACCCTCAGGGCACAGATGGAGAAGGGATCTGACCTTTCTGAGGGCTCTGCAGAGGGGGTGATGTAGCTCAGTGCTGGGGAGACGCGTTTGACAGTTCGTTTCCATCACAGAGGCTCACAGGGCTGCCTACCTGGGTGCCTCCGCTTGCTGCCAGTCGCAAGGCTGCCTTCTCCGACTGACCCATTGGCACGGAGGGCCTGGTGGGAGTGCTGGTGTCTGTGTGTCGCATTGACGATGTGGCTGGAGAAAAGCAGGTTTACTGTGACATGGCAGCAATCAGAAGACACCAAACCCATGTCCGTCTCCCCGGCTATGCCTGAATCCTGCATATGCAGCTGGCTCACAGCAAAGAGCTCAGAAAGCAATGGGAAACCCCCCCTAGCCCAATTCCCGAGACTTCTCGGCCTGCGCCCCGCTGGCTCCTGCCGCCCTCGCGCCCCGGCTCGCGCGGCCGCCTACATGCGGTCCCCTCCTGGCTGCTGCCGCACTGCTGCACGTCCTGGGAGCTGCCGTGGCTCTGCGGGGACGAAGCAAAGCGGCCGCGCCGTGAGGATGGGACAGAGCACCGCCAAAGGGGGCCTCCTGCCCCATTCCTCAATCTGACTGCTTGTTTTCGGCGGGGGGAAAAGCTAAGATTGGGTTCTTGGAGGGCCAGGGAATTTCTTCAGGGATGTCATGGTTTGTCGCCCATGGCATCACCCTCCACATGCCTCCCTAGGAGCGCTCTGGCTTCCCCTTCCCCTCCAGAAGATGAAGCAATTGCTCCCTCTGCCTCTCCTCCAGATTCCCACACCCACACCAGTAGATGCAGCTTAATATGTGCATGATATGTCTATCATCTTAGCTATCGAGTGAAGAGGGAAAGAAGGCACAAAGCAACTCTACTGCTGTGAGGGAGAAGAACCTCTACAAAATGGTCTTTGCTCGAGGGTGGAAAGGTCTATGGGACAGCTTCCCTGGTCTTTCCCCCTGAAGGGTTTTGGTAAAATAATATCTGAAGAGCAATGAGGTTAATGCAATAATATTTACACAGTAATCCACTTAAAATCACTTTGATTACTGGTCTTATTTGTAAACTATGGTGAAGAAGAACTTCAGTGTCATTGAAATGGCCCTGTTAACTGGGCAGGTGTGTTGGGATGTCAGACTGATTTAAGCCATGGCAATTATTGCTCTCATCACAATCTTACACTGGATGGGATCCTGCCCAACAGTGGAAATAGAATGGGAGTCTGGAATATGAATCAATGCATCATTTACTCTTCCCTGATCCAATCACCACCCAAGAGGCCGCGTTAACAAGAGAAGGCCGCGCGCCCTGAGGTGCTGCTGTGCTCTCAGAGTGCTGCAGCTAAGGAATGATGATACAGCCATCAGCTTATGCTTCAGCTCCAGCTTTATTATTCTCCTCCTGAATGGAGTTCATTTCAGTAATCATTTGAGCAAAGGTGGATTTGGAAAGGCAGACTAGCAGCAATGCCGCTTCTGAATTTGCAATTTTGTGCCCAAAAATGGGATAGTTTAGAACCATGCAGCATTCAAAAAATGTCTTTGTTGGAGTCATAATGCAACAGATGACTTGGAGGGAGAGGGGAATAAAGGAGAAGAGGGAGGAAGAACAGATATTTTCCTAAGATTAACATGCAATGATTCTGTGTGTGTTAAAAGCCTGTATTTATTTAACTGAGAAGGCATATGGTACCTTTAAAGAGGAGGATGCCAGTTCAATCGATGACTCTTCAAGGCCAAGATCTCGCCTTCTTTCAGCTCGGACTTCTGCATAACTAAAACAAATTTATATATATATTTATCTATACGTCTAATTCTTCCGTGACAGGTCTAATTTGTCTGTGCAAACATAGCCACCAGATATTTACTGCATGGTAACCACCCTGACAAAGAGGCCCCCCGAAGAGCTTCAAGCTGGAGTCAGTGGCTTTGCACAGCTCACACACACATAGTCACATACACGGTGCTTAGAGAAACGTCATCTTACAGCTTTACGATCCATGAATAAATACAAGTGCTGACCATCCATAGACTAGAAACACCAGCGCAGTGTCACACTCCTACTCTGTTCTAGTAGGACTATAGGGTCTATATATAGGGTCTATGCAAGTGATTGCAATATTAATTTCAAGCACAAATGTCCATCACACATTTTGGCCCTGGATGCTTTAAGGCAAGACTAAGCTAAAAGCAAAGTGCACTTGGTCTTTGAAGACAAAATAGGTATCTTCATCCTCCCTAACATTTTCTTAATGAAGAAGCTTCCCATTTTCTGCAATCAGGTAGAAAAAAAATGATCCTACAGCTTCTTTGCAGGTAAATTGCTATAGTAAATGTACGTTCATTTTCTAGCCTGCCAGTGATCAAGAATCAATATTGTTTTGCATGTTTTTTTGCATGGAGCTCAGCAAGACCCATGGCAACACCAAGGAAGGCCAAGCAGCAGCTACATGTGACACCAGGGTTTGCAAGAGACAAAGAGAGAGAGAGAGAGAGAGTCCTTGCTTGGATAGAGGACCCTGTTTCCAGGGGGAGCAGAATTAAGCCAGAATTAAGTTTGCTGAAATATTAATGAGTCCTTGTGGGGGGCAATGGGACCTGCTGAGCTCTAACTCAACCCAGTGTATGATTGAATCCTCCACAGTTCACTTTTTAAGGCTGAAGTTATATTACCTTGTCTGCATCAATAACACATCTAAACCTTCAGAGACAGAACTATATTTCAAAGTCTATTTAAGATTATACCACTAGATAGAGTGGTATATCTAAGAGGTACTGGAAGAGAGAGAAGAAACAAGTTCACGCACAGTAAATTCAGAGCTTAAAGTGCAGCTGAATTCCCTGAAGGGAGGTAGAAGCAATACGGTTCAAAAGCAATCTCTCTATAAAACATTTGCTTAAAATAGCATGTCGGATAGTTTATACCAACACACACAATTCTAACCACTTAGACCTGTTTATTGGGGAAAGAAGATCTCAGTCTGCATTTGAGAATATCAAAACTAATCCCAGTCTATTAGTGCTTTGTGCTTGTAAGGAAGGAGGGAGAGCAGAAAAAAAAATACAGAATTATTTCTACCAGTAAAGAAAGAAGCACCAATGAAGGCATCTACTCAGGTAGAGGACCAAACTGGTGTGTTGCTACCTCTTCAAGCTTTCTAGTAATTAAATTCTCACCATTAACGCCCTGAGCTCTCAGTGGTGATCACCTAGATCCCAAGCCACAAGGCACCAACCTTCCTTCCCACTGAACCCGCAGTTTTGTTCTCTGAGCACAAAACGGCTTCCCACTAGGGGGGGATCATGGGCTAAATTTTACATTACGAATATGGATACCAGCACCGCAGCTGACATCCAGTCATAAATATGTAAAGCTCTGATCAAAAGGTTTTGTGCAAGATGTATGATCCCATTTACACTCATAAAGCTGTCTGATTCTTAATAGCTTTAATCCTTCATGTGGCCATGTCATGGCTAGGGACAGAAGTAGAATGTAACGTACAGAGAGATGTGGCCAACTGTGGCTTCTAGCTTTTAGTCCAGTTGCCAAAAAAATAGTAATGAAAATAAATTATATTTATAAATTATATTTTTGTTTCCAAGTTCCCTAATAGTTTCCTATAGTTATATGCATCATCTTAATGCATCAAGACACACAGCATATATTTGGCTACCACAAAACAGGGCTGAAAGCAAGTGGCAGGGCAGGGTGGGGGTTCTCCTACCTAACCACGAGGTGGGTGCACACGATGAACTCGGGCTTGGAGTTCCACTGGTGGTAGGTGATGTAGTAGTGCGTCTGCAGCCAGATCCACTGCTGCCCTTTGGTCAGGAACCTGTAGTAGCAGGACTTGCCTTTTCCAAACTGCATCACTGAAAAACGAAAAGAAAGGAATTGATAGCAAAAAAGAAGGAGGGAAAAAAAAAGAATTGATTGATAAAAACACCCTTTTCCTCCTCTTGCAGGCTGACACTGCACCAAAACTGCTTTTGCTGCTTCATATACACGATACACACACATGGCGATGTACCGGGTTGTTATTTGGATTCTTTTTTTTTTTCCTTAGTATTTTGAGAGCCAATTACTGGCAAAAGCAGGCACTGAGCTTCTCTGAAAAGAATAAAAGACATAAATTAAAACAGGTATTGGCCTTTCACAAGTACACGAGAATGCCTTTCAGACACACGAGGTCAGGATCCTAATTACGGCACAAAAAAATGCAACAGTGGAGTCCAGCAGTTTAGCTGCTTAGACCTAAGCTGTTGGGGACAGGTTTTCTTCTGTGAGATAGCCTAAATGCAACAAACCTGGTATGTGTATCAGGCTATGTCCAGAAAAATCACAGGTGATGTAGTATAACAGGACCATAATGAGGGAACAACATTAATTGACCACATTAATTGCTTCCAGACTGCTGGGAGTACCTTATAAAACATTCTCATGTAAAATACCCATAATTAATGCAAATAAAATACCCGTAATTAATGCGGAGTGAAATATAAGCGTGGTTTAAGCAAACCCATTTCACTTCACTACGGGCAAGGTGCCTGCCCACAGCAGTGAGCCTGCAAATGGGAACTTGTCGAGCCATAAGCATTTTTACATGCCTGCTCATCTCTACACTGTTAAGCAGCAGAACCAACTCCTTTAGCAATTCCCATTAGCAGGGATGGACTTTTGATGAAGCATTTAGAGAAGGTCTTTTGGTTAACAAGTTAAGCTGGGAACTGTTCAATCCCTAGCCCTGTCAGCGATTTCCCAAGCCATCTCCTATGAGTCACTTTGCCAGTATCTCACTTTGCCCACCTACATAGCAAGATTAAAAGGTCCTTTACTGAAGGTGTGTTGTGCAAATGTATTTTTAATGTCCAAGAGGGGATCTGTGGCTAACAGAGATGTGGAATGTACACCACTAACCAGAGGGAGTCCCTGTGCAACGATCAGACTCCACTCTCACATAATGCAGTTAATAAACACTGAATTGCAGGCATGTATTAACAAAATCAGTTTAGCTGCTTAAGTATCTCATTTCTGCCTGCATGGCTTTTTGAAGCAAGCAGCACTAAAGTAGTGCTAGAGCAATTAAAAATATTCCTTTAATATTCCCATCTCTGTGCTTGCTGCACCTGACATAACTTGTGTCTAGCCACTTCCACGGCTGCTTCTGTGTAAGCAGCCAGGCAAACCGCTTCCCCTGCTCTTTGTTTTATGCACAATCTTTCGTCTTTATCAGTGCAGAAAAGGAGAGGGGAAGGAGGAATGGAGAAATTGGAGACTCTCTTCGGAGCAGAAATCATCTTTTCCACTCTCTGTTGCATCCTATAGGATTTGATCTGCATGGTGGGTAAGGGGTAGAGCTGGGGGTGAATGGCAATTCATAGCCAGAGTTGCCCAAGCCTCATGGCTCTGTGCTGAGCAGTCTGCAGAGTTTGATGGTGTCCCTGCGTCACGCTGCTCTGCATCTCAGAGGAATTAGAGCATCCCATTTTCCCCACTCTCGTGTTCTTGTTTCCTTCTGACAAAGCACTTTCCTCTCAAGCAGAGAGTAGATAGACCGACGGCAAGTTTGCCCAACAGGAAACCTATAAGCAATACTTCTTGGCAAGACGTCTGATTACCTAGATGCTTTTTACAAAGTGCCTAGTTACTTTTCACTGCACCTCTTGGCAATGCAAAGCAGCTGGAGGACAGATGTAATTCTGGTTCAATACCTTATTCTGAAGAGCATGAGGCAAATGGAAAAATACAGTCCTAAGGGTAAAGCATCTCACATGTTCATCTCATAGGAAAACCGCACGGGTTATTAGACCATGTTTCCTGTCACCTCTTGCCCTTCCTTATACCACCTCGAGCCTTCAGTGGGACATGGTGTTGCCGCAGTGTGCTATGCTGCTGCAGTAGTCAGGCTAAGCTCTCCCCTGGACCTGATTCCACACAGGCTTTTGTAGTCCACCACATTTCACCCCACACAGGGTTCACGAAGAGTCTCTTGTGTTCACACATCAGGTCAGGAACCTCCAGAACTGGACAAAACTATCTTCAGAAAGATGCAATGCCGAGACAAATCTCACCTGGGCTGAAAGCTCACAGACTTTTCTTCCCCAGCAGACATTCCCAGGGGAAGGAAAGTCCCCATTTGCAGCAGTCAAGCCAATGTGGTCCTGGCTGCACCCAATCTGCTCCTGTGTGGAGTGCTCTAGAGTGAATGTTCAAGGTGTCCAGGGTGCCTGTGCTCTCTGGGGCTGCCCCCAAGCTTCCCGCTTCAGGCAATGGGGAGCTGGAGGCCGTTTTTACTCTTCAGGCAAAGCTACTTCGAGATCGATAGAGAATAAGCTCCTGTACCCCACAAGAAGTCTGTTATCAGCATGTCTGTATAACGGATCTGACTTTCCAGAACCATTTTACTAACCACAAGTGAAGTTTACAGCAGCTAATTGCACAGATAAGCAATCCAGATGCTTCCTTCAGGGTATATTTCAGTGAGCTGAGCCTGGTGGCTAGCTCCAGAGCCAGCGGGAACAGAATGTCCCCAGAAACTGTGGGAACCACCAAAATCCCAGGGAAAGGGGCTGCTCTCATAAGCTGGGGTAGAGAGCAGAAAGTTCTGACTGCCCATTCATTAATCTAACCCAACTTGCGGCCATCTGTCTTCAAACAGGACACCTGCCTAATTGGGAAACCTGCATAAGCAGTTTCTGATCTGCGTGAATTCCACAGGGATTCAACTTCCTGGTGAAGCATCAGCTGTGATAACTTTTTACAGGAAGATAGAATTCCCTTTCGCCTCAGAAAAGGAAGCCTGTTGGGATGATGGTAAAAGGTTTTGCACAAGTGAAAGCTGAGACCGAAGTCAGGCAGGCTGCAGAGGGAGAGGAACTCACAGTGTTCATGGCACTTAGCAAGAAGCTCCAGGTCATCTGCGTGGTAGTAGTCATACCCTGACGTTCCCAGGACCTCAAAGGGAAGGTATCCTATGATAGGTGGAGCCCTAGAAGGGAAGCGAAGAGCAGGTAGTAAACACAAAACCTGATTCTATGACCTCATGGTAGACAGTCTGCAACACTGACAATCAAACAATCTCCTACAGCTACTTGGCAGGGAAACTGCATAGTGACCTTTCCATACACGCGCAAAAAGCAACATGGAGATGTAAAAAAATGAGCAAATGAAAAGGTGTCTGTTTATTATTTCATAGCCTATTCATTATGTGGGTGTAGAGAAAGGCATGTGCGTATGCAAGTGACTCAAGTCATTAAGCATGCTTGTTAGACATGTTGCCCGAGAAATGCTGTGGATGTTCGTGCGCATATTAAACTGGAGCTTGAGTAAAGTTAGCCAGTATGTTGGAAGCAAATGTCATCTAGGTGGTAAATGTAAAAAAAAAAAAGGATAAGTGGGAAGCCACAGTGTGTGTCAGGACCTGCTTAGGGAAAAGAGAAAGTAATCGTTCCCATGGAAAAGTTTGGGAAGCCCAAACCTGCAAAAATGCTTCTAGGTTGGCAGTGAGGAGGAGAATAGGTATGGGGCAAATTTTAAGTGGTGTTACTTCTCTGGCAGGTAAAGAAGGAACTTAGGAAGTATGGAGATGTGAGGCTGTAAATGACTTCTCTACTATCTACTCTATGTCTATGATTCTGCTATCAAGTCTAGATTGAAGCAAAATATAAAAAGTTTTTAAACTGCTGTCCCAACAACACTGAGCTCTACACAGTCTGTTTGGGAGCCTACTTGCTTGGAATTAGGAAATAGCACTGAAAGGTGAGGCCAACGACATGATGTTTACATCTACTTCCTATTTCAGCAAGCCACCTTCCATCCCCATGCACACAAGTGTGCTCCTGTTTGCATCAATTAAAGCACCACGTGTGTCTGTGAGGCAGGATTTGACCATGCTGTGCTAATTTGGCATTTTGCTCCACCTACTTGTTTTTGGCTGCTAGATGTGCTGATTGCATGAGGATAATCCGCCAAGTTCAGTGAGGCACTCAGGAATAAAGTCGTCAGTGTATTACTGAAATAGTTAATGTTTCCAACCTGGGACAGTTTGAAGGTGTCACAGCCTACTAAACATGCCTTTTACACTGCCTTTCTTCCTCTTGTGTGTCAAGCAATCCTCTTAAGGAGCGTGAATGCCATAACATGGCTGAGAATGTATGCAAAAATTATTTAAGTGTAAGTACATTTGGGTTGGAATGGATTGACCCCGAGACCTTTGGGGTCCTACTGCCTGGGCCAAGGAACCCAGCCATAAATCTGTACTCTTGGAGTCTGAGCAATTTCCTAAAACTCACCCAATATGATGCCTTATCTGCATCCTCAAAGCTCTTGAAAGAGGGAGCACTTAGTGCACGGTGGTCCCTACCACAATACAGTCTTATTTATTCAAATAGCTTTGTACAGAGCACTGTGTTCCTTTCCTTCATGTGACCCAAATTTCTGTTAATGATGATAAAATGTGTATTTTCGAGAGAGTCTTTCCTTCTCTCTCTTTAGTCAAATGTGCCAATGTCTCTTGGGTCTTTAATAACATGTTTATTTTCATGACAATGATGTCTTTCAGATGCACAGCAGATCAACATGATCACAAAAGTACCATGCTTTCACAATTTTCACCAAGACTTTCTAAAATAGAATGTAACCACAAAATGCTTCCAATCTGTCATTTGACAAGGACATGGTTTACTTGTGCAGCAGTCTCAAAGTGTAGTTAGGCTTCCAGCCTGCAACAGGCTGTGCAAATGGGACTGCATGGTCTTCTCAGAGCTTCTTGACCGTGCGTTCGGTGACAGTGTCAAAGGCTGGAAGGATGGGACTTTAAACCAACAACCTCCCAGCACAAGAACTGCAGGATGACACTTTGCAGTATTTAACTGCATGAAGGGAAAATGGGGAGAGGACCCCAGGACAGAACAGAAACAGAGCATTATCAAAGCCCACAGGTTTTCTTCCTTTACTGCCTATATGCAGATTCAGATGCAGATTTTTTTTCCAGTTTTCTAATGTTTATCCAGCTATGTAGAGTGCTTTCTGCACCATTTATTATCATTCCACTTTATCTTATTGTCATATATATTAGAGTAACTGTTGAAGGCCGGGTGCCTGCCAATCAAAGCTGGGCACCCACTGCTCCTCTGCCTGCACCCCTCTCTGCATCAGGCCACGCAAGTGTTGTAAATAAACAAGAAACAGCAAAATATTCAACAACATTTCACAGTGTGCTAGAGATCCTGAGGCCTGTACTGGATAAAGGTCTGAATGAGTGATTAAATGAGACAACCCACATGATTCTTTGCTCATTCCTGGGTCTGTGCTCACCGCTTGCATCCGGTGCTGTCACAAACTCTGGCTCAGCATCTATATTAACTTAATTTACTCTCGGTAACAGTGGTTTCCTCACCGGGGATATGAGAGGGGCTGGAGCGGCTGCAAGCGCCCAGCAGCGAAGAGACTCCTCTCTGAGTCATAACCCAAATCCATCAAAAGATTCTTTGATACGTCTTAGCAAAGCTCTTGCCTGCCTGATTCACAGGAGCTGCTGGGGACACAGCCCTTTGGAAAACCAGCTCGCTTAATTAGATAGAGAAATGAGGGATTTAGGAATCTAACTTTAATCACTTGCTTCTGAAAATGTGCGTTATTGGATAGTCCAATTAAAGGAGAGCAAAGTTACTCCAACAAGATCTAGATGACACGAATAATATGGAGACTATCCCAAACCACATAGCACTAACTGTAAGGTTATCAAATAGACAATTCTACATTTCAAGATGTGATACATGGAAAATATATCTTGCCTAACACATGAATGCAAGTTTTATTTATATTTTTTCTTTCTTTCTTGTATTCAAAGTGCTTTTTCCCTCACAAAAAGGCTTATTTTGTATTCTTCCTTTTCTAGTGATGGCTACCGATGCAGGGCTTATAAAGACAAATGCAAACAAACTCCGTAAAGACAAATGCTGCAGGATAACGATGAGAAGGATATGATTTTGTGTTGTGGTCATGCATAAATGCCAAATACACAGAAGCAAAAGAGAAACAAAAACCTCCAGCTGCTTCTGAAAACAAGAATTCTGCACCTACCAAGTCAATAAACTGATTCCAGTCTGTCTCATTCCCAAAGTCCTAACACAGCCTCTCATACTCTATTTAGTCAAAAAGCAATCTGTAATCAAACCATCTATTCCTCTGCATTTTCATTTTTTTAATGCATTCCAGCATTTCTCAAGATGCAAATCAGAAGTTTATTGATAGAGTGAAAAAATTAAAAAGTCTCGAAACGTTGGAAAACAGATCAGATAAACCAATAGAGAGAACAGGACACAAAATGCTTAGTTTCAGTAATTTAATATCTCAGTGAAATTGGACATTTTTCTAGCCATTTTCCCTTCACTTTACATGGTTTCTTAGTTGCCTAAACCATGAAGCAGGGCAAAGTCTTTCAGGAGGCCTGATAAGTAAGTTCAAAGTATTATTAGTTAAGTAGTCTAATTTAATTAGAGCTATTCCACAGGGGAAGTCAGACAATAGTCATACAAGGTTTTCTCTTTTTAAACTACGCTTTATTCTCTATTGACAAATCTCTTACCTGTGGTCCAAGAATAGAAACTTCCATTCCAAACTATGCCTTGATGTAAATTCTTCACATGGCTCTTCAACATTGCAGAGCTCCTGCAAAACAGTCGACACATTCAGATACTTAGTTCTGTGAAATGACAAAAGGAACCCTCTGTCAAGATAAAGAATGCATCATCTTAGTATAGCAAACCCCAGCAAAGAAAGAGATTTAAAAACACCCATTTTTTTTCTTTTATTGAATACGCAGGTCTTGTTTTATACATGCATGAACTTATGAAAGGTGCCTAAATAATTTACCCTGGGATGAGTCACTGTTAGAACTAGGATAAAAAGCCCAAGGGCCTCATTTTGCAGTCTGCAGGCAAAATTTCCCCTGATTGTTTTTTTTCTTAATATTGGCAACTGAAGACAGATGCCAGCAGCAGGTTCCAGCTTCAAACCAAGCTCGCTATTGCTCTGTCAAGCAAGAAGCATCTACAGTTGTTATCACTGTTGCTATTGCACTGTGCCGCAGGACACTTAATGAGCAGAAAAAAAGAGTCCATGAAATACTATGTTCAAGGCTTAAAGTTACGAGTGGCTTTCTTACACAATGTGTGTCTTTAGTGGCTGCAACTTTTCAGGCAGTTTAGCTAGTCGCCTTTATCGGTACTGCCTGAGCTGGAGGCTGTGAAACGTCCTGTCCCCAATCAGCTCTTCTCAAACGCAATTCCTATTTTGCCTCATTCCGAAATACGCTCAAACGCAGCAGTGTCCTCACTCATTTACAAATCCTCAGCACAAACAGTTCACAGTGCCAAGTATCCTCTTTGAGAGGCTCCTGCAACACAGCTTGTCCTGTAACAGCTGAGGCCATTGCTCGTGGTAAAAGTACCAGGCTCTTCAGCTGAATGCTGATTTCCAGACTAAAAGGGAAAATGCAGTCTGAGAGCTCTCACCTTTAAGAACTGTGGTGTGACGAGACGAACAGTTGCTACGAGGCAAATCTGCTCCTCCGTGGCTGACCTGAAAGCTCTTGCAATAGCTGACTCAAAGCCATTACAGGAGGGTGTAGGCACTAGACACAACCAGATACGTTTATTTAAATGGAAGAAGAAGACGTTTCTTTGCATGTTAAGACAGGTAGAATGACTGATGACAGCCAAGCAATGAATTCTTCGACCCACAGCGTTATGCCACCCTGGTACACACTGATGTTAATCAAAGCACAAACCTTTAGGCTCATAGTTACCCATTTGTGAGCACCCTGGCTTGTGGGAAAGCTCTATGAGACAGCTCTCATCAGCTAGAACATACACCTCCAGCCCCCTTGCTGTGGTGCCTGCAAGCAGGCTGCAGACTGCGATGCAGACGCTGATATTCAGCTGACTTTTAGGCTTTGCAATATTTTTGCTATTTTGCTGTCTACTTTTTGCAAGTGTCCTATTAAAATAACGGATTGAGGAACAAGAAGATATAGCAAGAGCTGATACCACTTTTCTGCCCTGAACATTCTTCTCAATACAAAATAGGACAGTTTACACTGCATGTTAGCAGGTGTGAGGTTAAAGCAAGGAAATACCACCTTTTTGCAGTCCAACATTTGCAAGATTCAAGATTTCCCAGGTTTCTCATAGTATTTCATTTTTAAGAAGTGCCATTTCATTGCCACAGGTGAAAGACCATATTTAATTTCACTGGCTGTTTCAATAAATAGACTGCTTGAAAATTGTCAGTGTCTCAAATGTAGAGTTGGTCCTGCATCACTTCTTTAAGCAGAGCACCAGCAGCATCTCCAGCACTTCTATATAAAAAACATCCCTAACATATCTGTGGCACATTCCATTCCTCCTGATTAGGGGTCATTTTCAGAAGAAACAAGGACATTCTGTGGCTACACATAAAGACATGATTTAAAGGAGAGAGGCAAAATAGGCTGGAGTGGTAACTTACCATGAGTAAAATATTTAAAATCCACTACAAATTTCACATATTCATATGTCAGGGGTTCATTTGGATCTAAGCTGCCTCTTGCTAAATGACAGCAAAACTCTATTTGTTTTTCTGCTGAAATGAGAGAAAGAGAGGGAGATGCACACAAAGTTACTACAAGCCGGCACTTTATCACACTCAACATATCTAATCTCTGCCGGGGGGGTTATACCAACACTGTCACTGTGGCATCTAAGCACATTCTGTGGGGATGTTCTTGATAACCCTAAGTACATATGCAACACTAGGATAAATGATCACCTGGTTTTGCGTAAGGAAGTGTAGTCTCACCCCTTTCCCATGGCTTTACAGTTACCCACTGCCCTGTCCCGGAGCCCTGGCCATGCTGTCACCAGCAGCATTTGCCCCTGCCTCCAGTGTGGGCAGGATTTCATGCAAAGCCTTGAAGTGACACTGAAATGCTCTGCTCGGGCAGTGCTCAGTAGGACCCTGAGTGAAAGAGCACCAAAGACCCGAAGCCCCTCCGTTAGCTGCGGCGAGTGAGCACTGTGTAGACTCCCCTTGGGAGCTGTTTGCTTTTGGCAAATTTCCCTGATAGACAGAGGAGAGCAGAGCTTACCGTTCAGAAAATCAGCTGCAACAGGGTCTGTCATGAGCACGTGTGGAGAAAGGAGCTTGTACACCTCACTCTGCTCCCGCTCAGGCAGGAAGTTTAATATATTTTGGTCCACCAAATCTGACTGATACAAAAGATTGCTTTGTCATGTTCAGCAGTACGACTTTCCACAGCCACACGTGCTTTCAGCACACAGCAGAACACAAATGAGGCCCATTTAGCACAGATGCTTAACACAAGAAAGTGATGCTTCAGAAACAGAACTCCCTTTGAGGTGACATATGGAATAAGGCTCAGGGAGACAGAATTGGCTTCTAATTCTCGCACTGTCACAGCCCTGAAGAGGCTCACATCACAGTTCCAGAGGCCCACATCACCAGACAGCAAACATTACACAGTATTAAATCCTTTAATTTGGATTATTGCTTCTTTGACTGGACAAAACCAAGTCCTATCTTTGCAATACCAGGGCTGTGCTAAAGCAGGAGAAAGATTCCCCAACATACTGTGTGGTCAGAACTTACCGGTAAGTGCCCAAGCAGAGACGAGACACTGTCAGATACATATATAATAATCCCATCAGTGGTAAGAGCAATGAGAAAGCCATCTAATGCCTAATGAAAAAAAGGCAGGCCAAAAGAAAAAAATCAGAAGAATTATACTTGGGAAGAACTTAGAATACAATACAGTAGGCTACAGTATGCTTACAACTGGCATAGATCTGTTGTGGTAACAATGGCTCAAAATGGAAAAATAAAAATGACACATGATGTCTAATTCAACATTCTTTTTATATTTTTATTTTCTCATTAATATTAAATTGACTTGCAGCTTGCATCCAGTATTTATTTAACATGAAGCAAGATACCAGTTGCTAAATTTTCTACACCCACACAATTCTGGTGACTTCAGTCATTTCATTATATGTTTGAATTACACAATAGTTAACTAATTCAGTGCGTATGGAGGTGCTAGATATCATCATGGCAAACCCAGCATGACGGAGTGATGGATGGACAGATGGATGGATGAATGGATGGAAAAGTAGTAACAGACAAATTGCACAATGCTGTATTTTTAGCAATTTGTGACTATCATGAGTCAGAGTCAAAGTATTATTTTGTTTAAAGCATGCTAGATAGGTGATATAATTTAATTTATCAAAGTATTATTTTGTTTAAAGCATGCATTTGCTAGATAGGTGATATAATTTAATTAAAAAAAAATCTTTCTTATTCTTAATAGTATCTAGCCTGGATTTGAGGTTCTCTATCCCTTTTAAGTCACTGAATATATATTCTTCTTTGAATTTTTTTTCCTGTTCCTTACAACAGCTTCTTGTACCACTGATTCAGCCTATTTCTATTCTTCTGTAATGACTATGAGGCTCTGGGATATTTAATTTCTGGTCAGCACAGCCCGTGCAGCAGCTCTTCTGGATTCACCCTGAGGGTGCTCTGCAGCTTAGTCTATAGGGAGCTGCAGATGCTGATCAGAGGTAGCGCTCACCATCTTCCCCAACAGCCCCCTCAGCGTTGTGCTCTGCCTTAGCTGAAATTAAACTTTCTCAGAACAGATGAGCTTTTGACTTTAAGTAAACCGGTCCACTGTCTAATATAGTCCAGCAAACTGACATTATTAAAGGATTGTCTCCCATCAGCTTCTCGGGGACAGGGGGGATTTGTTTTGATTGAGCTGGAACAAACCAGCTTGTTTGGTGAGAGAAATTCCCAGAAAGACTGAACAGACTTTTCCAGGGAGGTGACTCAAGACATCCTGATGAAAAGGAACAACTAAGACAGTGCAGCACCTCCCAGCTCAGCCCAGCATCCACCCTTCTTCTGGTGGGGCAAAGAGCCTACACAGGCAGGGAGCTCCCAGGCAGAGAAGCAGGAGGCACAAAACCCAAGCGGCATCTCTAAGAATGGCTTAGGAAAATGCAGGCTCTTCCATGAAGCACAGGGATGTTTTCGGATCAGCCAAGTGTTTTTCTAGGTGAGAGCATCAGAGCTGTTCTGCTGAACGCATGTGAAAGCAGTGCAAGTAAGAGATGCTAATGGGATGTGGGAGGCAGAGAGCTGCTCTGTTTTTTTCAGGTCCTTTCAAGTTTTTGCTAATGCTACCAGTTTTAGTGGCTGTTCTGAGAAGGGTAGTTCTGTTTTTCCTCTCTCATCAGGCCAAATCTGGGCCAAATTGGTCTTCAATCCTAAATGAAAAGCTATTTATCTTTACAGGGGCTATTTACCATCTTTTTAACTCTATGTCTGCAAAACATTCAGCACAACAGTGCTCTCAATCAGCTTTGGATTATGTGCACCAGCACTGTAGAAATTGTTAACACTGGGACCTACAGGTGAAAGCAGCTGTATCTCTGAACTACTCCACTGAACTGATTAGTTCCCACTAATCTATGCAGCTTTTATTTCTTCTTACCTCTAACATCAACTGGGTGAACTCCTCGTTGCTAAGAAATGAAGGCTTCCAGTCTTGTCTAATCTCACAGGCTTCTGTCTGTGCTGTGATTTCTTAAAGAGAAAACATCAAAAAAGCAACATGACTCATGTTCGTTGGAGATTTTTTCGTTTTCAAGTAACGAGACGTCTTTAAGAGGCTTTCAGAAGAATCATCCTGAGATCATTCAAAGCCTTCCTATACACAAGAGTCATTTGCCACGCCATCATGATACAAATGCCACTAGAAATCAAGAGACCAAAAAAGGACAGATTTTGGGTGGGCTGAAGAAATCCTTCAAAAATGCAGGTTAATGGGCTAATTTCTGAGTAAGCTCAGCAGAGCCACTGAGGGTACTGTAGGCTCCCCACTGGCACCACTGACAGCAGGAAGGGTCCTCCGCTCTGCCACTTCGGGAGGACTCGCATGGGGACACAGGCAGCAGGACAGGCTGCCTTCTGCCATCTCCTAGACCTGGGAAGAGAGCAGAGAAACACCCTTCTCCTTGTATTTGTGATGCACGGTGTCCCTCTGCTCTTTGCTCTCATGGCCTGTGTGAGTGTGTGCAGCCCATGGCAGGGGACCCACGAGGCACCTGGTGCTCCTCTCTGTTAGTCCAACAGGGCAGCAGGGAAGTGGCACTTGGGGACTGGTGCGGCTGGCAGAGAAGAGACCGTGGACAAACAATTTCAGGTCAGCACAGCTTGTGAACCTACCTCTTCCACAGCCACGGAGAGGACAATAAGCAAGGAGAAAGAGGATGGAATTTGTGAAAGGCAAAATACCTTGACAAAAACAGAACGTACAGAGGAGGGGATTAAATACAGAGATTTAATGGATCTAATGGTGACAGAGACTGGACAAGGGAACCTGTAGAAGACAGAGTTTTGGAAAAGCAAGCTACAGAGCAGACAGTGACAAGATACTATCAAAACATCCAGGAATAGAAAACAGAGCAGGGCACACAGGAAAAGGAGAACAAGACACAGCAGGGGATGCAGAGGTCAGTGAGGGAAATGGTGTAATGTCATTGCATTAAAAACATAAGGACCGAATCTTTTCAAGTATCTCCTTGTTTAACCGATCGGCAATGCATTCAAACCTAGCAAGTTTCCTGAGGCCAGCTGCTATGCCTTTTTCAGTCCCTTGCTTAGTGTTCATGTCATCTACGGAGGTCTTAAAAGCTTGGGAAAAACAGCACTCATCTTCAGAGCAGAACTCAGCAGCTGGTCAGATGCTGAGCCGATGCCTTTGGCACCAGGAGGGTCACAAAGGGGCCCAGCACTCTCCAGTACCTTTCTGTTTCTGTAAGAAATCGATGGTCCTCTGCAGGATTGTGGACTTGTCCATCTTGAGAGGGTGTCCGTGGCCTTGCAGCATTGTGCAAAGCTCTTTAATGAGGACATTGAACTGGTCTCTCCTTTTCTTCTCAGATTTGTTGCGTGATGCCCTGGATGACAGAAACACAAATGTCACTAAGTAAAATGAAGGACCTAGAGCTGGAGCCAGTGAGGGGCTAAGGGATCTTGTTCTGGCAAAACACCTCAAGTGTAAGAATCCAAAGTTTGTTTGGATATTCATTTGTTTAAAACTAGGCTTGGACTTAAGTGCTTTGCTGATGCTTCCAGGCTTGCACCAGGACTGAACTCAAAAAGAGCAAGGCTATCTGGAGGCAACAAACATGACATATTTATTTAAGTAAGACCATATCGTCACATACTTTTTTTTTTTTCTTTTTCAGTTTGTGCACACAGACATAAAGGCCAAAAAAAGAAAGACACCTTATTTCCTGACTTCTACTCACAAAAGTAGCTTATACACACAGGATGCTGGGTGGAGACAATTGCAGAACCGAGCCAAGCAAATACTCTCAGGTCTGGTTTCGAAAATTTGGAGTGTTTATAGTATCATATATGAAACTGGGAACATTAAGAGTCTGGCTGCAGAAACCACAGACTGACTTCGTACTTACATTAATACAATTTCATCATGTTTTACTAGGGTTTTCCTCTCTACTAAATAAATAAAGAAGAAAGCCAATCTATTCTGTCCAAAATGTTCTTTCCAGTGCTCGTAGCAGAGGTAACCTTGTTTTCATACAAACTCTTCCAATGGTAATTAAATTTTTACGAGCATATTCATGATGATACATGCTTCCTGTGATCTACATCACGTGCGGTATGCAGAAAACATTTCCATTCATATTCAGATTGGTATGTGGAGGTTCTCAGCTCCAGCTCTTATCCTCATGCCCACTTCTGTCTTGGCACTAATGGAGAAAGGCTAATCAGAACCGAACCAAGTGCTCCTCAGAAGGGAGACTACTCATACTCCAAAGCAGGGCCATCCTCTAAGTTTTGCAGGGAACTCAATGCTAGGTGAGCAGTGCTGCATGATGTCAACAAAATGACATACTAGGAATACTGCAACAGGATAATAAACAGGCACGGGATAATCGGGGATTCTGAGGACCAGACAATGTAATCTAGCAACGCTTGTGCTGATTAACCTGTCATGCGGTGGCCAGATACTTGAGAAGCTTGAAAACGGTCACAGAAATATGAACCTTTTTAGTTTGCTATACAAAGCCTCTAAACTAAATGAGAGTTTTGCCTCTAACATCTCCCAAGTTTTTACACTTCAAACAACACGGCATGTGCAATTGCACCCTGGCAGAGCTCCCACCCTCTGTGCCCTGTGGACCCATTCCTACCTCTTTGCCCTGTCCTTCTCATCTTCATCCATCAGTTCGTCTACACAACACAGAGCTCTGAAAGGAAAAGACAGCAGTACTTAGACATATATCCTCTGATTTTGTTGAGGATGTCAGAATAAGACCCTACGGACCTGTCTGCTTTGTACATCATGACATCCCAGATGTTTTTATATTCCCTTTCCCCAACTTCAGATCCTTATGAAGGTTCATGATTTTTCTTTCTGCAGCAGGTACTGAAGCTTGAGAAGTGAAACCTTTGTTAAAAGCCGAAATACACAGCTTCAATAAGTGTGATTATACAAGGAAAGAGATAAGAGCTGGTAACCCCTTGGCTACCTTTTTTTCTGACAGAACCACATGCAAGCCCAGCCACTGCCTGATGCTACCAGGAGAGCACCACGGATGGGCAAAATCTGCACAAAATTCTATGCAGGAAATAGCAGCTATTCTGCAACTGCGATTTCATTCTCTGATCTGTGCCGGATACCACTGTGCCTGATTCTGTTTTGGGCAACCAACCAGGCTGCTGAATTTCATTGCAGTGGTTAAACAGTAGCTGAGATGTCTTTCCCAGTGGATGAGCACAAGAGGACACAGGAAAATCTTGCTTCCTGGAAGGATTAATAACAACAGGGTACCATCGGGATTGCTGAGAGACCATATGATACAGATTCATCCCAAGCCCACTGTGGGCAGTGACTGCTGCTTACCCTACTGGGCTTTAAACACAACCTCCAAACTGCATCCTGCACTCGGATTCATACCCAGGACTTCAAGCTAAAACTGTGCTGCACCTGGCATTATCCAGGGAGAGGAAGGGAATGTGGCTTCCCTGGGCCTGTATGTCCCTACATTAAAAAAAAAAAAAAAAAAAAAAGTCATTTGGGGCTGCTATCTTTATTTTATGCTCACTGTGTGCAGCAGTTTGCAACAGCAACTGCTGAGAGAGATGTGGTACTCTCAAGTCCCATGAAACGATGGAAAATTAGACATGATGGTGAGAGTAATTTTTTAACTGGTAGTTTGCTTTCTGTGACTCAGAGGGGCTAAGTCAGCAGGATGGGCAGTCACCTTCCAGACATGGGCGAGCTGGCCACCAGCTCCCCAGCCTTCGCTGCCCACCTCCCACTGCTGAAGAGGGGCTGCAGACCACATCCATCCCCAGCACCCATCAGTCTCCATCAATAGCGAGCACTTTCGTTGGCAAACCCTTCCCATCCTGAGGAACACTCTGTGGGGACTAGATGCAAGAATTTGTCCCTGCTTTGAGACTACTCCAAGCCCCAAAATCAGATGGCCATAAAGGCAACGTAAATTAGAAGTACCTACAACTGACAGGAAGTTAAAGATACAAAAGCAACAAAAATTTACCCTCACTTCCCTGCTCTAGGGTGGGGATCTCCCTCCCTGCAGAAGACCTGGGCAGAGGAAAACTGAATGAAATGATTTCTTTTGTCTCAAAAGGTGAAGAATATGCACCACAGAGAGGGAGTGGTTTGCACTGCCTGAGTCACTGAAAGCAAAGAGCCAAATTAGAAATTACCTGTTCTACTCTTCAGATTCATCAGTCCAGACTGACTGAGTGGGATTAGCACTTCTTATCACCATGTAAATAGAGGTGGAGAAAAATTAATCCTGGAAGGAAAAGTAAATCCAGTTAAAACACAATTGCAGAGAATACTTAGCCTAGAGAGCTGCAATCACTTCAGGCTGAAAAAGCCTCTCACGCTAAATTAGGAACTGGCTCAAGTCAAAGCGCAGCAAGGCTCCAGGACCTAAAGAGCTGGGACAATATTCTGGGATTCTTGCTTCTTCATGCACCATTTACTCCACTGAATTCACAGAGGAAGCCAGGCAATGCCAAATTGAGCTCCCCTTTCCTATGGCCTGGTAGAAAAACGTCCCTATCCATAGCTTGGGATCACTAAGAATCAATACAAGTAGTCTGCAAAATAAGGTAATTTACCTGGTATGAATGTTATGAAAAGCAGTGAGACTTGATCTATGCAGCCTTGTGATGAAAAGTCTCTTTCAAGATGAACATGATCAGGCAGAGCCAGTGCAAGCACCTAAGGGTGGATTTAGGACCTCACTAAGGTTTGCCACTAACATGACATGAGCATCCCCTTTTTCATTACTATTTGAACAGCTACCACTGAACACTCTGGCTGCCAAATGAATTTGAAACATTTCATGAAATTAATTATCCCAAAGAATTTTTGTTGCATTATTTCTTTTTCTACATCTAATGCTTATCATTTCTCAGTTATCCGCCTTTGTCAAATTCTCTCTCTCTGACTGTACCCACCCCACCATGTTCACCTCTGAAACCTCAGCCATCAAAACTTTTTTTTTGATTCAAACAACCCTAATTCTCAGGAAAGTTACAGATACAACCAAGCTGTCCTGATGGAAAGTAGTATCTTCAACAATAACCAAGTACTGGGTTTCCAAATTTTTTCAGATTTTATGGTAGTTTCTCCTCTCGAAGGCCCCCTAATTCTCAGGAAAGTTACAGATACCACCAAGCTGTCCCGATGGAGAGTAGTATCTTCATCAATAACCAAGTACTGAGTTTCCAAATTTTTTTCAGATTTTGTAGTAGTTTCTCCTCTCGAAGGCGAAGCAACCCAGAATTCAGTTCAGTCTTAATAACTTCACAGATACATGTATAAAAAAAAATGCTTTTTTTTTTCAAAGCAATGAGTTAATGGAAATAAGACAAATGGATCCACAGCACTTTTCAGAGAACATCTTTTTATTCACCCTTAAGCATACAAAAATTCAGCCATAAACACTTTGCAGGCCCAACAACACTGAGGAGCTTTTTGCATGATGCAGCAGGATGGTGAGCTATAAAAAGTCTTAGCAGAAGACACCTAAGGACAAAATATTCTTAACTGGATTAAGCACTTCAGAACTACATTTAGCTAAGTGCTTTTTGTCTTGTTATGAGCTGGAGCCAAATATAGTAACCAGAATACTTAAGAATAGTTTCATAAGGGTTGTATGCACTCCTCAGCTTCAAGATAAGGCACTTAGCACTATCGACAGCAGTATGTCTGCATGTTAAGAGTATCTTAAATAGCTACAGACAGAATCTCTTTGACCTCACCTGTATTAACCAGAGGGATCAAAATTTATTTATTGCCTACTGAAAATCCTCTCCTGCGACACATGGAGGGAAGGACTCCTGAACTCTGTGAGCGGGTAAGGAGCGAGGACGGTGGCCAGTGCTGCTGGCCTCTTTCTTTTGCCCAGCCTACATGAGGTGGTGACCAGTGTTGTCCCCGCAGAGATAAACACGTGTGTCACGGCCTCCTGCCCTTAATGCCGAGGGGAAAGATTCCTCCTGCCCTTGCATGGGGAGGGCCTCAAAAAATGCTCATTTCCAGGGCAAGACAGAGTTTAGACTTTTCAAATATCATAGCCTTTAAAGTCATTTCCAGGGTTACAGAAAGAGAAATGAAGTATGACATCCTTAACAAGACAAATGGACTTCTCAGAAACACATCTAACAGTTAAAGTGCTATTTCATGCTACCTATAATACCCTGGTACAATTATTCCTGAAGAGCGTGAGTGAGAGATTTTTTTTTAAAAAAAACTCTCTTTTCTGCAAAATTGTCTGATTTCAGGAGCTATCTAAAATGGCAGTCTTCTGACAACAGAAAACATTTATTTATTGCATTAGGCAAATCAAAATATTAACACTACCTTGAAAATAACACCTGTTAATGGAACACTACATTAGTAAGCATGATCCCACAAACCCAGTAGTTTCTACGAATACTTCATTTTATTTTTAATTTATATTATGTGGTTATGTCATTGCAAGTAAGGTAATACCATTTCATAAAACCAATGCTGGAGAGATTTCTTCATGATCAGTAGCAAGATAGAGCATTTATAGTTCATCTAAAAAAAGGGCCCTAACTAATTTCACTGTTTTTCCAGTTGCCTCAGTTGGTCTAATTAGATATATTTTCGCTGCCTAAAAGCTCCACTGTGCCTATATTTAACTGTTCATAAAATTTTGGACTTGAGGAATGCATAGCAGTTGGAGATTCTTTAAATCTATACTGCAGGCAATCTTTTAATTATGGAAATGTGCTGTGCCAATAACTTCCACAGATTTTTACATGCAACGAATTCAGCAGAGAGCCCTCAATTACAAGATGAAGCCCTTTGTAGCACAATATACTCATAAATAAGAGAGTTAATGCATTCTCCAGCGATACGATTTATATGTCAATATGCTGATGTTTCATTCTTCCTGAGGCAACAGGAGGGCATGCCTGGAGTTGACAGCTAAACAGCTGATTTAATTTTTAAAAGGCAGAATTTAACCTTTTCAGTAAAGTGCTACTGATTCAATTATAACATGCTAATGGAAGTGACATTTGCCAAGTGAATGGTGGCGGCCCAGAATGGTGGTGCTTGTTGGACACAACCCGCACTCGCCCCTTGGTTTACACTTTTCAGCACCAAAATGTGTCGCTGGTCCCTGGCAGTCCCAAGGCCAGGCTGTGGAAGAAGCTCACCCAGCACCTTTGTAGCTTCTGGAGAGGGTCTGGGAGCAGTGAATTGATGGGGAACCAGCTATTTGAGGGTCTCTTCTTGGCCAGAATTGGTTTTTTTCTGCCTTTCCTCCAAGTACGGCGTCTGGCTGCACACCCTCAGCCACTGTGTACCCTTCCCTGCTTTATGGAGCCCTAAATTTAGCTTGTTACCTGTGACAGATTTATGACTCCATTCATTATAGCAGTAACAGCTCTAGACAGAAGCTAAGAGGTGCCCAAAGAAAATGGATTTTACAAACAATTACAGCATAAAAAAGGCTGTATCAGAACACGGTGATTCAGCACAGAAATGAAAGGCAAGATACAGGCAGGAACAATGGTGGGGTTTTTTCCTTTTTTCCTTTTTTTTTTTTTAAACCAGGATATGCTGTTGTCTGACAAAAGAAAGGGAGAAAAAAGATTTTTTAAAAAGAGAGACATTTGAAAAGAAAAGATGATTACTGGAACATTTTGTTCTCCAGGATTTTTGTAAGATCCTGGAGAAAATAACCAGGCAACTTTGTTCTGTTCCAGTGATTTACTAAGACTTGCAGGCTGAAGATACAACACTGGAGAAGATGATTTAAAATGTCTCCAGGGTTTCTGTAACAAGAAGGGCATGTATTTAATTAATTCTTTCAATTTGTCTAATAGCCACTTAAAATTCTCAAAACATGGCAAAAGGCAGAACTGCTGATTCACAACTGTAAATGGTACAAAACTGCACTTCCACTGGCACTGGCAAGCAAGGATAAAAATGAGTATGCAAATGATACTTCTGCAGTCTTGGAGCATCACACCATGAACACCACAAGATAATGATAATACATATAACCTGTACGCAGTTCTTCAATGCACTTGACTCATGGCATAGTTTGGATCTTGTTGTCAAAGCTGTCTTTTGGACCTGTTATCCTGAAATATCTCTTGCAATCACTCTTCTGTTCGGTTAACTACTGGCGAAATTCATCCTAAGCAGAGAACTACATAAAGCTTACACATCATTAAATTGTGTATTTCTAAGCCTTGGGCTCCCCCTGTGCAATAAATAAATGTAATCATTAAATGAGAAATAAAACGAGCTATCTAATCAAACTAAAAATCTTCTCCTCTATCTCTATGAGGCAGAGAACAACCTCCAAAAATCACCCATACAAAATGGAAAAAGGGGAACACATAGAAGGTGGCCAGCAGCGTGGAAGAAGCTCTGGCAGTCTGCAAACAGCCTGACTACCCTTAGCCCTGTCCTTTTTTTGCCTCCTTAGATCTGCTTACTCCATTATGCTGGACTGGGGAGCCCGTTGGTGGGAGGTCTTGGAAGTCCAGTCCTTGTTCAGCTTCCTTTGATTTCTACTGAATGACATCTACTTCTCTGATGCTTTGCAAACGACTTGCTAGCATCCTTTCTCTCTTCTGATGCTTGCACATCAGGAAGTCTGGCACACTCCATAAACACCAGATAAGCCTTGCAAACCACAGTCAATGCTGAAAGGAGGAATGAAAATGGAAATACGGTTGTCTGTTGTACAAGGGAGGAAACAGGAACATGCATTTGATCCCTGTCTCTTTTTAGGAGTGTCCCAGTTTTAGAAAGCTGAATTGGAGACAGTTACTGCTTCTGTTTATGGGTATCTGCATGAGAGCAGTTACAGCCTAATTTTCAATATTGCTGAAACACAGTGTAAGCACCTATAAACAAGGAGCATTTCGGCAAAGCTTGAGCTAAAGCATGGGCTCAAGGTCACCTAGCAGAGTTAAGAAGTGAATCCAGATGTCCTGATGATTAGCTCTGTCTACTGGCATTCAGACAAGTCTTCCCTCCTAAAATAAGCTTCCTGAAGCATCAGGCTGTGGTCTTAGAACTTCCTTAAATATGTATCACTGATAAGAAGTGATTCTCAGATGAAGGAGGGGAGAAGAAGAAAAGGAATGGCTGGTTATTTTTTTCCTCAAGTGAACACTGAGTGACTGACAGAAAGATACCTTCCTTTTATAACAGACTTCTTCCAGTAAATAAATAAAAAAAAAAAGGAAAAAAAAAAGGAAAAAAAAAGTTTCTCCCTTTTTCTAACAGCACGAAGAAAAAAAAAAAAAACACGTTCTGCCCCAATAATCCTAAACCTGAGT